TTGGATAATTAAATAATGTAAAATCACAAATGGAGTCAGATAATTAAGTACACCCTGCAGTACAACTGCCAGAGGTGAGTGCATAATCCTGGAGACACACGATCTGGTAAATGGTTCTTAAGTAAAATGTCAAACTACTCACAGCTTACAGAACATGGGTTACTCTGCGGTCCCTTTCTACATTGGTAAGAGAACAAAAAAAGTCCTCTCAGCATCTTAAAAATTCTGGACTGCAGCTTCATTTTTTCCTCTAATTAAATGGATTTAATCAGAGGTAATAGCTATGATAGATCAAAACCAAACAGTCTAATGCAAGAATTGCTGCACACTATAAGTCCAGAATTTCTGGCTCTCATGGCAGAGCAATTAAATTTCTGCCATCTTTCTGTAGCAATGTGACTGCTGTAAGCAAGTTATAAATTTCAGGCTCATTTTTCTGAGTTGTTCCACACATTCAAGATAATACATTCTTACTACAGCTCCTACAAATATGATGAGCTTTCTCAATATTCTGAAACCTGCTCTTAGGGAAGTTTCTGCTTTCTTAGCAGCAGTATTTATGAGATTTTAATTCTCACAACAAAACTAATTTCATGATGTGCCTTGTCAAAAGCAGCAACCTTGCTTATTCAGAAGTACAGAAAAACCTTGAGTCAAGTCTGATGTCTGAGGCTATCCAGGCCTCCTATTAAGTCCTCCAAAAAGAAACCCTATTCTCTCAATCTCATCCTTGAACATTTTGCATTCATCTAAGGCCTGTCCTACTTTTCTTTTGTAATTGCTAGAGACTTAGAAATAAGCTTGATGAGAAAACTAAACTCAGTTCACGGGTGTACAACCAAGCTTGTTTGTGTTCTGAGAAGGAAAAGGGCGATGTCCTCATCAGAAAAGAAAGTGGTTAAGAGGTAGCTGAGGAACGTGAGACACAAGCAACTTCATCACAATTCTTTCAGCATCATTACTGTTAAGTGTACTTTTTTTCCAAGGCCCTACAGATACAAATTACTCCTAAGGCACTTAAATGCATCATCCCAAAAGCTGAGGACTGAGAAGGCAAATGAAAGAAGTACATGCTCATTTCTGCCACCTCCTACCTCCCAGAAGTGGGATCATATCACTAGCATTCACCAACTCTCACTGCTATCCCACTCAACAAACACAAATTCCTTTCAAAGAGAAACAAAAGGGCTAAACTGAGGTGGAAGGGGAAGCACCACTGTATTTCCTTAAATACCAATCCAAGTGCAGGTCCTGCCTGCATGGCATACAGGCTGAACAGAATCTAGAGCCTGAATTAAGATCTATCTCTGCTAGAAGAAAAGACTTGTTTCTCATCTACTTTCCTATGATGTTAAAGATGAGAAAAGTAATCACAATGGCAAACTCAGAAAGCAGAATGGCATACTTATTGAAGTAAACAGAGGAAAAAGGTTTAGATTTTGTTCACAGTCCAGAAATTTATAGAAAGTCTATAAAAACTAGGAGGAAAAAAAAAGAAAACCATGTCCTGTTATTTTAACAAGTGAAAGATAATCATTTCAGATTTCCAGACTTCTATTTACTCTGTAGAATGATTAATGTGTATTATCTCAGTTACATATGTAATCAGACCCCATTTTGATTTTCATAGAATCATAGAATATCCTGAGCTCAAAGAAGCCCCAAGAAAAACACCATGTGCCTGAGAGTGTTGTCCAAACCTTCATGAGCTCTGACAGGCTTGGTGCTGTGACCACTTCTCTGTGGAGCCTGTTCCACTGCAATTAGATAACTGAATCTAATGAAATCTGTAGAATGAATTTACAGAAAAAAAATTGGAAAACTATCAAGAGACAATACTTGGCAAGAATAATTTATTTATCCTAATGATTTTCAAGCATAAATGGTTACTACACATGTGAAAATACACAATAATAAATATCTCATATAGTAATGTGCCTTACTGGATCCTCCCAATGATGAGGTACAGCAGTAACTCTTCAAGAGCACACTTCTACTCCTCACATTCCTCTGCGAAGATATTCAGCACCAATGATGCGACATTTCTGAAGCCCTCTGACCTTTTCTACCCTCTTTACTATAATTTATTTATTTATTTATATGGCTCCTATGGTTATAGAAAATTATCAAAGTTGTTTAAAAAAGTCTAGATGACCCAAGGAATTACTGCTATTAACAGTGGGAAGGAATATGAGAATGTGTGTCTATATAGATAGCTATCAAAGGAATTACTGAAGAAAACAGATATTAAATAAATACAGCACTTTTTGTGAACAGTCTTTGTTTGCAAATCAAAATCATAATTAGCAGCACAGATTATCAGGATTACTAATTTCTGCTCCCTTAATTGACCCTATAACCATAAAAATAATGATAGTTTGTGCAAAATCTCCAGATTGTTGTGTCGCAAATCAACAGTCCAAAAATCTGAAACCAAATTATATTATTAAAAACAAACCTTATACACAGGAGATATCAATTCTAAATGTCACCTAAACTCATCAAAATGTCATAACGGAAGCAAAAGGACCTTGCAGTTTAAAAATATGTTTCCTATTATACCAGTTTGTTTGTGCGCCTAGTTCACAGACATTTCACTTCCCTCTGAATTAGAAGTGCAATTAAACATTTCAAATTATGAATCATTGTAAGAAATCACTGTTAATTGGATTTTTAATTGAAAGCTCCTTTTTTCTCTTCCTCATACAAAACATCAGCAGCAAGCAAGCTGCAAAGCAGCCTCTATCACAGGACAAGTTGGGCTGTAAGGCAGGGTCTGGCAGCCCACCCAATCCACCCCCACATGAAGCTAACTCCAGCATAATTCAAGGTCTGAGTATAAGCAAACATCAAATCTGTGACAAAAAGCAGCAAAACTCAAAAATCATCAGATCTGCTCACAATTATTACTTAGCCACAAGCAGCATATTCTCTGGGTAATGCAAATGTCACTAGCAGCTTGAATCACCTAAAAGAACCAAAGAACACCTTATTTCTGAGCCTTGATGAACTTATACCTCTGGGACTCTGCATTTCATCTAAGCTGACAAAATATACTCTATAAATATTTATTTAGAATATAGCAGATTTCTTTTTATTTCACAAAGCACAAATAATATCCATATAGCCAAAGGTTTTCTGATTACATCTCCTGGAGAGATAATTTAAATACTAATTTTAAATGTCAGCTTCTGAATAAGAGCCATTTAAATGTTCTTCAAGTGGTGTGAGTTGTAGTAAACATTAATGTATAATTAAATTTAGTTAGTAAAAGTGAAAATAATGGCTGATTTCATTTACCGTGCTCGGTATGTTTTTTTATTAATAGGCTTTAGTTTTGTAGATGAGCAAGAGAAACTTCTATTGTCATACATAGATTAGAAATGTAAACACTTAACACTTCCCACAACGACTGACTTCAGAATTGATTATTATCTCAAAAAGGCAAAGAACCAGCGTGGCAAAGAGCACTACTGCCCCCTAACGAGCCAGCCCGCAAAAGCTCCTCTGTAACGACATTTTTTGTTTTTCCTAAAAAAACTTCATTATATCCATGAGTTATGAAAAAAAAGCAACAAATTAAGACAACCTTTAAGAATATATAAATTAAATTCACACCACATTTCTGCACAAAAGGCACACACATAATTTTGAGGAGGAAAAAAAAGTACCTAGCGGTGATGATTTTCAGGTAACAATACTTAGTGCACCAAGAGATCATGAAGATGCAATGTACAACAGAAAAATTATGTTCCCACACTTCTGTTAGTATATAAACAGATATTAGTCAATCTTATTTACTAGGATGTAATTGTTCAGAAAAAAAGCCTGTAGTTATCTTCACATCAGATTTTTAAATTTTAGTGTCTATACCGTTTTCTTGTTGCACCATTCTACCTAAATGCCAGTCACAAATCTGTTCTAGGCTTGTAATTATTGCAAAGTAATTCCGATCTTGAAATCTAAACATACCCACAAAGAGCAAAAGAGAGGAAACAATCAAAAAAATCCACTTTCTGAATTCTTCTCTCTCAGGAAACAGAAGAACTTTCTGTGTCATATAAAGGTGACATTTTTTCCTTTCTATTTTTTTTAATTGTTTTGCCACAAGAACTGAATCTATATGCAATGCTGCCCAATGCAGCTTGGGCATAAACTTCGTCTGGTTCCTGTATGTGCATTTCAAAAATACAGATTGTAAATGCTGTACAGCTGTTACAAGTCTTGTTGAGAAGCACAAACATAAGCTGTGTATTCTCTTTTTATTTCACCGCAAATCGGAAAGCAGAACTGAGTTCTGATTTCTCCCCTCAAACTTTTTGTACTGAATTTTCAATAAACATTCTGACAGACACCATGGAAGAAAAGACTCCAATTTCCATTAGTAAGATAAGGTTAAAAGTAAATCATGTGTCTAATTTGAAACACTCTGGTTAACAAAAGAAACCAACTTTGTGAATAAAAAATTATTAATGAGTTTGGCACTGAAACACCCCCAGTTGCTAAAATTCTTGAACTAAAGACTCTACCTTAAAACTGCCAAATACTGGCCTTCTGTGGCCTCACATACGAAGTAATCATTCATATAATACATCATTAGCACAGAAAGGTTGCAAGTGATGAGTAATGTCTTACATAACTACACACATAGCAGAAGGCTGCAAGCTGCTAGGTATTAAAAGCAAGAAGTACCAATCACATGCTATGTGATAAAAATAAATTATCTACAAAGATATTGTAAAGACCTAAAATAACCATATTCCATGGTATTTCTCCTGTTACAGACCAAGGTGCTGGTAACATGGCTCTCAGTCTACTGAATATGTATGCTATTATATCAGTACTTCATAATTTCAAGTGTTTACTATAACCTTTATAAAATGTAAAACTGAAAACATTGGCAAAACTAACAACAATCAAGAGTTCCAACAGTTGCTTCAGATCTTTACAATAAGGCCATCACCACAACTCATTCCAACTCTGTCCAAGGTATTTCTTACCTTTGAATCTTCATTGCTCACTCCCAGCTCTAGCACAGCTTGAGGAGACTTCAGCTTTGCTTGCTTGGACTCCGCCATTTGAAGATTAAGCTGCCATCCAATTGTCTCAAGCTATAAAACACAAATTTAAACTACAATCAAATGGCACAGAAGCACTGAAGTCAATTTGCAATACTGCCAGTGGTCTGTGTCAGTGAACACTGCGTCAGGCTTTACAAATGTTAAGTACTTGTATACTATGCATATTCCACAGATTCTCCTGGACTTCAAGACAGATTTGCTTCTCTCTTGTCAAAGTTACCATTCAAACTGCCTATGACCACTCGATATAAAGGACCTTCCTATGCCTCAGATCTGATGGAACCAATTCATAGAACACAACTAAGGATCCAGAATAAAGTAGTTTCCTCCTGTTGTGGAAGTTTATTAGAAAAGTTGCAGATTTAATTTAGTTTCATATTTATTTTTCTTTTAGGAAAAAGAAAAAATAACCAATAAATAGTAAACCAGTTAAAAATGGTAATTTCTTAATCAACAAATCTACTCATGTGTGTTGTACCATATACAGATGTTAATGACAAAAATAATTCTGTTCTGCTTTTTGAATCACTACTGCTGAAATGCCAAAAACCAGCTAAGCATGTGAGCAACAGAATTTTTAATAGAAAGTTATAAACAAATACATTTTAAATTGCTTTTTAATCATCAATAAAAAATTATATTCAAACATTATCATGGTATACCTCACACATAAATGGAGCACGGAAGAACAGAACTACAAGACTTTCACTAAATAACCTATCTGGCCTTCCTGAATAAAGAGAAGTGAAAATACAAAGTCTTACCATCTGGAAAGATAATGTACACACAAGTTCTTTTTAATCTAGAGTCTCCCCTCCACTAGTAAATATTGTGGCTGACTTGGTAAAAGCAGAAATGCAGCACATCTCAGTTAATCTCTTACCAGTCCAACAGTTCAGATAAAATCACTAACAGAATAAAGCCATGCCAGAAGCTGTACTGTGAACAGCAATACATGCCCTGCATCCTACCATGACAGTAATCTCTAGATGAAAGATAACAAAGGGTGGCAAAAACATCTTCCATGGGCACAGCTTCAAGACAAAACATCCAAAATTTATTGCAGCTATACCATTTACATTTACCCAATAATGTATGTTATATTACATTTCTTTGTACACTACATCAATAGTATAACTATGTCGTCATAACTATGTAACAAACACTGAAAGCCATATGACTAAGCAAAACAAAAGGAAAATTATCATGACATATTAACCACCACTGCCAGTCCAAGATGGCTATGGAGTTTAGCCAAGGCCAAAGTTAAGGGAAAGAGACAGTGCCAGACTGACTTTAAGTACAGAAACAGGACAGTAGGAAGAACTTCAGCAGGTCAGCCTGCAGTATGTCAGCTGCTCTGCAATCAATTAGGGCTTCAATATGTGATAAAAATAAGTAAGTTACATATTAATCAAATCGATGAAAGCATGCAGACAACACAAAGAGACTTGGTGCAGATGCTTTAAGTCTGGTCTAGCTCATTTTGTGGTAGGCGTAGCTTTAGCAACAGTATGCCCACAGCCTATGAATTAGAGGCTTTAAAGAAAAGTTTTATAAATTATAAAAGCAGATTAATTTTTAATCATAATTCTGCTTTGATTTCCTCTAACTTGATTACATCTTGGTTGGTAAAAATACCAGTGCATTGCCCTTCTCACGCAAAAGTAAAGAACACTCCAAAGTGGATTCTGTGTACATGTTCAAGTCAATGACACTAATGGACAACTCTGCTAAGCCCCTGTGCTGGCCAGTATTTTCCAGATAATTATACCAGAATGATACAGATAGAAACATTTTCCTCTCCACAAACTTCAATAAAATTTAGTAAAGAAATTAACTCCGGTTCTCTCAGGAGCATGAAGATACTACCTTACTCTCGTTTTTTTATCAAGGGAAAAAGTTTAGTTCAGTTAAGGAAATTGGTGACAGCCAACAGAAAAGGACTCAAATCCTGAGTTATGGTGGGAGCAGCCCAAAGCAGGCAACCAGGAACAGTACCACCTATTGATAGAACACCTGGGCACTAGGGTCAAACACAGGGACAGCGAGCAAGCTCTGAAACATGACAGCTCTTAGTACTGCAGTCTCTCAAGTTCCAGCCCTGTGCTCCTCTATTTAGAAAGGACTTCCTATCAGCTACTCCAACAGTTCATTACAGCAGTATGGAAACCAAGCCTTAGACAGGTTAGCAGCTTATTCTGCATTATAAAACAATGCCACTAGAGACAAAAAAAATCCCAGAAAGTCTGACTTCTAAGACTTTTCTGAAGTTGTTAAATAGTGTACTCTATGTAGCATGAAGAACAAACCATCAAAAACAAATAAATTAAAATTTGTGTCTTCTTTTTCGCTTTTAATACACATCTATCCCAGAACATCATAGAGGGCTCAGAACAAATACAATCTACGTGGTAGCACAGTGCCCTGAGTTTATAGCTGAACAGCAGCCATAACTCTTGTTTTATATTGCATTACCTTAAAATTACTTGTTTTCCTGTACAATTCATGTCTCTTTTCTGTTTTAAACACAGTTGTATGAGAACAAGTTTTGATTAATAAATTACATACTGCCTAAGGCTTCAAAATGGTCTGACTATTTTCTTGAAAGAAAAATGTCACATGTATTTGGTTATGGTTATGTTTACTTAGAAGACATTCAACAGCCTGAAATGTCAATTAACCTTTTGAGAGTGGTGGCATGTCTTTGTATGGCATTTGTGTCAAGGCACAGTATTTGTTAGCCACAAAGTGGTACACATTTTAGGGCCAATTTTTTTTTTAAATATGAAAGGACTACAAAATTACTTTCTATAACAAGTCTTATATCAGAAGTGAAAACAGAATGATGGAAGAAACTATATGGTGCCAGAATCTGTGACATATTAACTGAAAAGCATTTACTGGGGAGGGGCAGAAGTATTTTTCCATAACTAGCATGAAAACAAAGCCATGTTTTTAGCTACTGTAGACCTTTAGCTTCTTTTTACAATTTCTTATCAGCAGTTTAGAAATGTGCTGGCTACCTTGTCACTGCAACAATAAGCACTGTGGGAAATGTATTATTTAGTGCTGTAACTTCTCACTGGTATATCTGGCACTTACTTAACCTCAGGGTTATGTTTAGACAACAAAAAACAACAGGTGCAAGCTGGAAAACAAGGAAAAAACTATAGATACTAAAGAAAACCAATAGTAGTAAGCATGTATAAAAATGCTTCAGATCTGCTCCATGAACCCCGTGGCAAATGATTCATGGCAACAAAGTTACACAGAAGCTTTTGACAACCCCTGTAAACTCAGTTCCTGTGTCCATTTTGTTTCACTCAGGCTTCTGAAGAGGATGTGATGACACCCAGGACTAAGACAGATGGAAGAACTTATACACTTCCCACTTCCAGCACTCACCCAGTACTAGCTGTAGAAGAGATAAGGTGTTATACCTGCTAAACCAGCTGTGTACCCACACACACAGTGCTTCTCAGTGGCCACCTACAACAGTCCCAAGTCAGGTCCACATTAGAAAGCAGTCAGTTCTCCTATTAAAAGAGGATCTGACCCTTCAACTGTAGACGAGCAGCACCTTTACAGGTACATAAATATATCACCTGTCTATTATGAACTCTATGATAGCCACAGTCATTTTCCTCCAGTGTAAAACATGGGATCTTCCAACTCATGCCCACTGTCCTGGTCACCAGACTATTTTCCACGTTAAATAGTAGAATGTAGTATTTTATATAATAAGACAAGATCATCAGCAATCTAGCATAACTATGGTAAAATACCTGGGTCAAAGTCAGTCTCTACAAAAAGCCCATGTGCATTAAATGTCAAGACAGCTTTCACGGTTTATCTGATATAAACTTCAAGCATGATCCCCAACCAAATCAAGGATTCCACATAGCCAAAATTAACATCCACAGAATCCACGATTTCCCTCATCATTTACAGTCCATTATTTCTTTACATATTCTCTTGTCTCTTGCTGGCATATTTTTACCACAGTTCCTTACTTTCACATTTAATCTGCCCATAAACTTTACTACAAATTAAACCCAAACCGAGAAGAAATTCAAGGAATTTGATAAACATAACGAGTTTCTATATTAGCTGTAAAAAAAAAAGTTCTCTTAACTACATAAATATATACTCATTAACGAGAAATCCAATAAATGCTCTTTGGCAAAGAAATTCAGGCTAAACACAATCATCTTAACTATATCAGAACCAGGCTATCAGACTCATAAACTGTACTGGTTTAAAAGTTAACCAGCAAGGCAAAATGAACTCAATTCAAAAGAGAGATTTATAAGTCAGAATAACAATTTATTAAAATAATGCAATAAGTACAATTATACAGACAGACAATTGGTTTTAACCCACAAAACCCAAATGTATACCCAGCACCCTGGGGTATGAACAAAAGTGGTGTACCTTGGCCCACCCCCGAGTCCAAAGCAAAGGGAGAGGGGATAAACCTGCTGGTGGGAGAGCTGCTGCAGTCTGGTCAGAAGTGGTGATTGCAGTCCAGTTGAAGGCAGTGGTCTGCAGTCTAGTTGAAGGCAGTGGTCTGCAATCTTCCTCTGGATCCCACGAGAGGTCGCAAGGCTCTGAAACTCCCAGTTATATACTCTCCAGTTCAGGCGGGAGTGCTCAGTCCCTCCCTCAGAGTAGGGAATTCCATAAAAGGGCATGCGGATGCTCAGTCCCTCTTCCATATAAGGGTATCAGAGCGGGGAATTCCATATAAGGATATCAGAGCAGGGAATTCCATAAAAGGGTACAGGAACATCTTCCCACCTTGCAGGCCTCTACTGACAGCAGTTTTTGGGAAATGGCATGGAGGCTATAGAATACACAGTTTTGGGTTACACCCATCCAGGGATGAATTGGCCCCAGCCGTTCTAACCAGGACATAAACAAAGGACTATGACTTTGAGAAGGAAAGCAGACTGAATGTCCAGAACAGTCATCCTTCAAGTTGGAAGGACCAAGAACAGAGCCAAAGTGATTGAGAAGCTCACATT